ATGCCATACATAACATAAACAACCTACATATCACTGTAATCTTTAGTTATCCTCCCAAGGTTTAAAACCGTGAAAAAACCCTGAAGGTCCTGCAATTTGTAACATTTTGGAGGCAGCTAATTTGCATGACATCATTAACTTACAACTGTCACAACAATTTAGTTATAGAGTTTGACTTGTTCCAACACAAGGGGGAACTCACCATAAATTTTCGGCTGATCCCGTCAACCTTCATCAGGTGTGTGATGCCATCACTGATCACTTTCCGGAAGTCCGTAGTTTGACCCATGGCCGAGTCAAGACTTTTAAAAAATTATGTTCCATCCTACTTTTTCTGCATTAGGGAAAGAGTATGGGGGTTAAACACACACCAGTACCGGTGGACAAGCCCCCTGCTGAAGTGATTTCACTGTTGTGTGGCCCACGGCTAATGAAAACGGAGATGGGCACAACCCTATGCGTCACTTGACGCGGGTAGGCTCTTTAATTTTTTTTTAACTTTCCGGTTCTGACGTCCTGAAAAGCCACAAAACGCTACCAACCACAGTAACCGAGACCTAAAACGGGATCTCGGGTGTACCTCCATCTGGCATACAAGGCTACTATTTTCCGGCATTTCCCGGGTGGCTCCGTCTACGTCGGAGAACCTCCGGGCTGCGACTGACACTTGTTTCCTGGCGGTTGCCTTTATATGGTGTGAATGCATCATGTGATTCCTCTAGCCCTATGACTGAGCATGACAAGTAGTAGCAGGTTCCAAAAAAAAAACTCAAGTAGGTGTGGCCTTAGTGTAAAATTACACAAAAAATCACATGAGGGAGAGGATTGAAACACCAGCAGTGCAGAATTTATTTTCACCCATCACCAAAGCCTTGAGTTCATATATATCTCAGCTAACAGTATGTAGTGGTCACCAATTCTTTTTACACCTGAATTATTTTCTATAATTATAGTGCCTTTCCATTGTACAGACATGCAGTGTGAGATAACAAAACTGCCAAACATTGCAAGAGACGTTGAAAATAAGAAAAAATTCTTCCATCTGATGTTCTTCCATGTCATTTTGCTAGTGTACATAACGTTACACATTGGTAAGAAGCCATTGACTACAACATTATCAAACATAACATAACCTTAAAGGAAATTTCATTCTTAGACTTTGACAAATTTTAGACATATTTTCTTTCTGGAAGAAAAATCTTTGGCTCAGAAGATTAGAAATGATTTCATCACTCAGCAATTGTATAATATTGTACAACGTAAGGTAACGTGTACTTTTGGGTAACTATGGTTACCGTAATAATAGTCCTCAGGGACTATTCCATGGAAGACTATATAGTTTATGTGTCTACAGACTGAGGCTATATTCTTGTAAAGTCTTGTATAACTGACAAAGCAGTGCTTTAGTTAGGCAACTACATTTCATTATGTAAATGTTTATGTTGTATAAGTTATTTTATACTCCTAACTATTCTTTCATGTTTGTAATTTGCAATTAGCTTTCGGGCAAGAATTTGCAATGACTTGGTTGTGATGACATTTAGTAAAGAAGGTGCGATTATCGTGGCCTGATTTTCATAGACACAAATGTAAGCTCTCCACCCCCATCTATCCAGTTCCACCACACCACACCTTGCGAGTATGAACAGTAGTGAACGCCACAGTTGCGCAGGAGGTTGCCGTTAAGGAAGGAGGTGCCGCATCTGTTATACCACCAGCCGCCCTGTGCGTGACGCTGAGAACAGTCGCGCTCCCTGTCGTCATCGTTGTCCCTGTCCACAGTGGAGAACCTCTGCCCGTTGTTGGAATAAATGTGAGTCATAGAGTCTCCCGCTGTGCCTGAATACCCGGAAATGGTCAGTCGGTACCCGTCCGACTCACCGGACACCCTGGATGGGAACAGCAAATCACACAATATTAGTTATAAACAACAATCTGTGATGATTCTGATTCTGGTCAGTTGACAGCAAAGAGGGGTTCAGAAAGCTTATACCTCAATGAAGTACTTAGAGCTTTTAGTAAATTTTGCTCTCTTCATTTGTCTTATTGATGATGGGAATGATGATATTAGTATATTTTTTAAGGTCTTCTCTATGAAATATAATTGTACGTGCCAACTTTCCTATTTTGTATCTGCCGCCTAAAGTTAGATTCGGTATTATAATAGGGTAGCGTAGTTTCTCGCCAAATTCCCTACTCCCCTGAACTCCAGGGAAGATAGTCTGGACAGGAGGCACCAGACAAAACAGGGCAGTGCATAAGGCACAGAAGGGACCCCATAGAGAAGAAGAAAACATGCTTGTCTACAAGAGAAGAGAAGAGAAGAGAAGAGAAGAGAAGAGAAGAGAAGAGAAGAGAAGAGAAGAGAAGAGAACAGGCTTTTCTAGAAGAGAAGAAAACAGGCTTTTCTAGATCAAAATCGCAATCGCAATAAATTAGCTATAATTCAAAATCGAGCGCATTTTAAATAAAATTCCTAAACACCATTGTCGGGAAAGCCGTTACAGTCATTTTGAGCCTAATAAGGTATTTTGGACCTCCATGCTTCCAGGTTTAAACGAGTTTTGCAGAAATGTCATATTGCCCAAAAGTAGGCAGTGTGATGTTCATAGTAGCGAAAAGAATCGTTACAGTATTCAAAGACACCTACTAATACGACAGTAGCTTTGCTACATGTTTCATGTCCACGACAAAAAGTTAGGCGTACATGTAGCGTCCAGGAAACGGTTTGTATTTGTGATATTGTGATTTTTTTCTGGTAGGAGGTACTCGTGCAAAAAGGGCCTGAAAACTCGGTTTTACTGTAAATGACCGCGGGTGACCCCAGATCGAACGCCGTTCGATTCGAATGACGTAATATCGATCACGATTCGGGTTCTGAAGCAGTGGGGGCATTGGGGCCCAAATTTGACCACCGTGGATGACCAGCCTTAAAAGGAAGGAACCTTTCTCAACAAACAAAACTTAAGCTGTACAACAGCCTTGTGCTGGCCATTCTCCTGTACGTGGCCGAGTCCTGGACCCTAACTGCTGCGCAGGAGCACCGCTTTGATACCTTTTGTTACATGATCTCATCAGGCATAATTATTTCACCATAGTGACTTTGCCCACACCGCACTACTTTGCGATAGCACAGTGCAGTTCTATTCAGATCACTCCGCGTAGCACGCTAGACCAACTTAAACAATAAAGATGGGGTCAGCCCTCAGATACCTGTCCTATCGTACTTGAATCCGACATTTATTCGAAGTACTGATAGACATCAGAACGCGGCACATTTGAGTCCTAATGTTAGCGGAGAATCCTGGGAATCAGGCGGTACGGCCATGTCTCCAACGACTCCCTGAAGAGAGCAAACCAACCAGCCCCCACTGTCCGGTAAAATTCGCTCAGTTCGTCTCCACCTCCTCGATCATATTGCAAGGGCGGAACCTAACACAAGTGAGTTCCTAACTGTGTACGTGTCTGCTTATTAAAAATCTCACTAGATTCTGAAGGAGAAGCACCGACCTAAATGTGTTGTATTCCGCGTAGCGCTCCTGTCCATTTATGTCCATCATGTCAATCCGCAGTCTAAAGTCCTTCTGAGCAGTCAGGCGATGGATGTTCTCGTTCCCAAGCCAGTATTCCCCGTTCTTGTTCCCAAACCCGTGCTTGTACTCTACCCAGGTCCGGTCGAATGGAACCGAATTGTCCTGCCGTCGTTGGATCACAGTCCAGCCTCCTCCTGTGGGAAAACAGTCATCATTTCTTTGTTTCACGTGATAACCATGTGTTAGCTTTGCAGAGGAGATTGATTGGAATAGCCCGATGTTGTGAGTGATTTCTCATGAAATAGCTATAGGGATTGGACCAACAACACAGTTGACTTTTGCATCCCCAAGTTATTTTTTTAGTGTTGCTTTTGGCAGTTCATACACATCTGTGCATATTACGTACCCCTATGTGCCTTGAAGTAAAACAATATCTACCTGCTGTATCCATGTCACAGTAGACCTCTACACCGGACAGAGGTGAGCCAAGTGTGTAGACTCCACTGGTCGTGTGTCCGGCGGCTTTATATGCAGCACAGTCTGTATCTGGAAAACGGTAAGTAACAGGTAACAGAGTCACGATGTAATGATTGATATGGCAGACAAGTGTAGCATATTTTAAGCATAACCCTGGTAGCTAATGATAAAACTAGTAACTCTTAAAAACGGGGTCAAAACCCACATCAGTTGTATATAAATATGTGCCATTCCTTGTCGAAAACAAAATCCCTTCCATATATGTCTCATAGTATTACGTTTTTACTGAGATTGAAACATTATTGCATTGATTAAGTTATCCTAGAAAGTTTACGCGTGGTCCAGTTGGGTCAAACGTTTTAACTGGTGTTTTAACACATGTGGGTCTTTTGTTGTCGTCAAGTTTTCTTCCAGGTGATATGTTTGCTTGAGTTTCCTGCTGCCATTTGAATTACCTCAACATTAGTTTTCCCCAGGGTAAGCTAAAGTGTGACGTCATCACTGTGTCAAAGGTTTCTGGTAGACGATGTCGGCCCCCGTCGCGGTTCAATGAAGGTTGATGGGCCCTGATGTATATAGCTTCCTTCACACCTCTCAAGAAATAGTCTTGTTCAGTTCAAAATCCTTACAGTGTCAAGTGAAACAAAGTGTCCGGGTGACTCCATGTGAATGTGTTGTGATACCTCTGAACTGACAGAGCTAGGCCGTGTATGTTCTTGAAACCTGGCTTTTAGAAACCTCTCTGTTTCCCCGATGTACGTTTCCTGGCAGGGCCCCTTGTTGGTTTTGCCCTGGCAGGGGATGTGGTAAATTACACCACACTTCTTCTCTTTGGGAGTTTTGTCCTTGGGCGCAACGTGAGCGGATTTTGGACACGGAACAAGATTATTTCTTGAGAGGTGTGAAGGAAGCCATATACATCAGGGCCCATCAACCTTCATTGAACTGCGACGGGGGCCGACATCGTCTACCAGATACCTTTGACCCAGTGTTGACGTCACACTTCAAAGAAGCCAGGTGACAAGCTTCACTGGGTCAGTCTACTTTTTGAGGAAGACCAGAGTGACTGGTCGAAAGCTCTAGGTGAGATAATTTTTTTTGTGTTGGAACAAGTTTTAACTTTAAACATGTAACTACCAACACAGAAGAACTTTCATGATAGTATAAAAGAAATGGATCGCAACTAACGGACTAGAATGAATTGGACTGCATCAAAAATGTTTGCATGGTGTAAGGGCAATGTGACCCGTAACGCTTGTATATGACTGCCATCTGCCTATGAACTAGGATGTGTCATATTTTGTAGGCACGATGATTAAAAAAAGTTATGACTTTATCACTGTAAGGCACGCACGTGTAGCACCAGAACCGTGAGAAACTCGGACACTAGAACGCACCTGCAGGAGGAGCAGTCGGGGCTGCTGGGGTTGTGACCTGCGGAGGAGCAGTGGTGACAGCTGGGGTTGTGACCTGGGGAGGAGCAGTCGGGGCTGCTGGGGTTGTGACCTGCGGAGGAGCAGTCGGGGCTGCTGGGGTTGTGACCTGCGGAGGAGCAGTCGGGGCTGCTGGGGTTGTGACCTGCTGAGGACCATCACTCGCGGGGGGTCCTGACAGACACCCCAAGTCTGTTGGTTTGAAAAAAAATCAATCATTTATTCTTGAAGGCTTTTTAAAAATCTACAAATAAGAATATTTTAACCAAACATATGATTTATAAAAGTATTTCCAGTAAAACACCTGACAGACCTATACGCCAACTTTACCTACCTGAACGTTTTCCAAGGATGAGAACAGTCTTGACCTCTGAGTTTCTCTTGGATCTGCGGTGCACCTCCGCACTTTTCCAAAAGGTGGCGCTGTCAACACGTCGCCAATCGTCAGTTGAGCCAGCTGGGCCCTATAAGGCAACATTACCTTCCCGTTATAGTAAACAAGTACAGTCTGTAATATGATAAAACACAATAAAATAAAACTACTTTACTTACGATAAACATTTACTTTTTTTTCTAATTCAGAGAATAACAAAGCTACATATCACAACTCTGAGCTTGACATACTTGCATGACTGTGGCTCATCAACTGAAACGGGGCTTTGAAAACAAGAGAAAAAAAAGAAGAAAGAGAAAAAAAAGCTGGACGGAGGCCAAAATGGGAATAGCTGGTTGGTTTGCAAGGGTGTGCACAATTAATGACTCAAATAATCGGTCAGATTGCTGACTTGAATTGTAGCAATGGTAAAAAGAGTGAATTTAGATACATTCTTGCTGCTTATAACGTTACTTGTGGCAATGATATATTTAAAATATATAGCTGTTTTTGAGACAGAAATAGCAAATTAAAAAATCTAATTATTGTCAAAATTGCACTGGATGAATGAAAACAAGTTCAGTTAACCTGCAAGTGACGCTCTATAAATCAACTTAAGGTGCAATATAATAATGTCCAAAAGCAGTTATTGGAAAGGGACAGTACAACTGTTGCCTATAATTCCTTTACTAACATGGTCAGTGCTGTAATTTTATAGGGGATTTAACCTAAAGGCCCTATACCTGTCCATGGCGACCACATCATTTTCGATCATGTAGATTATCGATAACGAGAAATCATGAAGAATGTTATATAATGCGCTGATTTGCCCCCCTCCCCACAACCCCCCCCCCTTGAACACGGTCTAACAGACTTCGAAGTGTGTCTACTAAAGATCAATGACGTCATATCTACCGCGATACTGTTA